AAGAAGGAAAAGTTTCATATCCTCAAACCCCAACCCAATCATGTTTAGGCACAAGCTCAGGAATCACCTTTATCCGAAGGGCCATGGTAGGAATTGGCTATCTTGTCTGGTTCTGTTGAAAATTAAGGTGTACATCCAGCAAGGCTCAAAACTTGTATTCCTTAATAATAGATTTTTGTATCAATAAATTATTGATCCAGTGTTCCATGAGAGAAGATCTTTATGTGGTCAATGGGAAAGGGTGCAAGTTAAACAACGTGGAATGCAGTTTGTAAGATGTAAAGGTGCATTGCTTATTAAAATGTGTACTATAAATAGCAAAAAATAAAGAAAAGAAAGAAATAAGCAATACTTCCTCTTTAGTGACTCCCACTCTGAAACCTTCTGCAAAGCAACGATAGCAGGCAATCGAACCCTGTTTGGGGAAATGGTTCTTTTGTGAGGCATGATGTGAAAGCTCCAATAAGGTATCTGAATAGAAAGGAAAACTTGTATTTTTCCCTGCCAGCAGCACACTTGCTCATGTCTGGTTAGATTCTAACCTGCATAGTAATCACTCGTGCACTCTCTGAGCATAGAGGCAGCATGCATGCTCATGCGAAGCATGAAAGTGGCCCATGAAGGATTGAGTCAAAGAAGATGGTGTATCAGGTTTAATGCTTGCCGACAGGAAGAAGCTCATGCAAAATGGGGCAACAGTAAGAAATTTTGTGACAGGGCCCATTAGTTCCTGTGATTTGGCAACGTGATCTAAAGATCCATTGGCTGGAGAACTCCTTAAAGTTTTAATTTTACAAAAAAAAGGGACTCAGAGCCAGGGATTTAGCTCAGTGGTTCCGCTGCCTGCCTCACAAGCACAAGGTCCTGAGTTCCATCCTTGGTACCAAAAAAACCAAAAACCAAAAAGCAAAAAAACAAAAAAAGGGAATCAATAAATCTAGAGAAAAGTGTCACCTCCACAAAATTTTAAAAGTTTTATCGCCAGTCAGTTTTCAACTCAGGAGAAAGAAAACTGTAAATGACAAAGAATTGGTATGTAATTCTGTGTGTACGTGATTAAAATGAGTACTACACTGTTTCCGAAAAGGAGGACAGCGTAGTGAAAGTGACACTGTACCACATCCACTTCACACATTGAGAGCCAGTAGGGAAGTCCACGACTCTTCCTGTTCATTTGACCACTGATGTCCATGTTGCTCAGTTTTCTGCTTCTATGACAAAATACCTGAGAAAATCAACTCAAAGGAGAAAAGATTTGTTTGCACCCACAATTTCAGAGGTTTCACTGTAAAAAGAAAAGGCTCTTTGCCAGCTGGCTCCATTGTTTCTGGGCTTGGGATGAAGCAGAACATTCCTGCAGAAGGGCTTGGTAAAGCAAAGCTGCTTACCCTACAAGAGAGAGGCAGGAGCCAGGGACAAGACCAACCCTCCCCCTAGCAGGTGCAAGCACTTCTCTTAGAGCCACCTCCAAACTCTGCTGTATTGGGGTTCAAGCCTTCCACCCATGAGCCTTTGAGGGACACTTCATATTCAAGACACACAAAGAGGCTCCACTGTCTATAGACAGTTGCCACTTCTGCTTGGCAAATGTAGGCTTTCACACCAATTTTTCTGGCAGCCTGGCTGCATTCTTAGATGAATCCCACACTAGCTATTTATCATTGCTGGACTGCAGACAAGGAGCCTTAGTTTCTGGGTCTTAGCAGGAGCATCCAAGTGCATGACCATGTAAGACACTTTACTGACAATAATTCCCTACATTCAAAATCAGGTTCCTAGGTTCCCCATCCTCCAATATCATAGAGTTTTATGCTTTCTTACTACCATTTTGCTTAAATGAACAAGCAAATAATTAGAGGCAATTCTACTGCATTAACAATTTTCTAAGTTATACAATTAGAAAGTCAAACTCTGTAAGAGCTTCGTATATATCTATAACATATATATGCATATCTTCCAGTGTCTTGATTTTTTCTCATATAACTAAGGTATCCTAGATCTTTCTCACACAATTATACATTCTTCCCATACTTCTCCTCCTCAGCCTTCCTCTCCCTTTTCCCTCAATTCCCCAGACTCCCAACGTACACATTCAACTTGGAAAATAAACAGGCCATCAAAAGGGTGAGACTTTAGGGCAAAAAGTCTTTTCTTTTTACAATACAAAAGTGAATTTTCTGAATTACAAATGAAACCTCTAGAGGTATAAATACAACAGTGGAGAGCTGCTATAAAATGTGGCATTCTTTCCCACTCAGTCAGTGAGTACTTCATAACTCACTTGAGACTGGCAAGTTCTATATAATACATGAATACAAGGCTTGAGAAGAATCTCAATAGCTCCTTTTGCCTATAGATTAAAACAATAATACTACATGGAAATTTAATGGGTTCATTCCAAAGTTGCTAAGTGTAGATAGATAAATAAATAAATAGAACAAAAGACCAAAGGTACACACAGGCCAAAGTCATAGATATTCTATACCTGCTCAATGTACTTTTTATTTTCAACAAAGGTATTATCTCATGTATAGTGCTTAGTTTGTATTTTTTAAATTGCTCAAATATTCCATTTATGATACCGAATTTCATTCAATCTGATCTTCCCTAATATAAGATGACTCAAAAAAAACTGTTGTGGCAAATATCCCAGATTCAGAGTTCTGCTCTAAAATTGCCTGGACTAAAAACAATAAGAAATGTCTTCAAATATGATTGAAATATCCGCACCCGAACTGTCCCCTCCATTAAAGGAAGAAAGCAATAATTTATGGGGGCTGGGGATTTGGCTCAGTGGTTTCGCAGCCTGCTGCGCAAGTGCAAGGACCCGAGTTCGATCCCTGGTACCAAAAAAAAAAAAAAAAAAAAGAATCCTTTTTATAATTATGAGGTCTAAGATTAGAAACAACGTTTTTTTTTTTTCTTTTTTTTGGAGCCAGGGTCTT